TAAGTTTATTTTTAGTTATTTGTTTTCATAGTTGCCACTAGCCTGGCTTGCTGAAGGGGATTCAAGAACAGAAACAGGCAGGTTGGGCCTCTGACCACGAAGACGAGAGACTCAGCGGTAACCGGGAAACTCAGAGCTCGAGCCAGGGTCTGGACACATCTGCGGTGGCGTGTGGCCTCGGGGCCGAGTTTCAGAACAGGCATCAACTGTGACAAATGCTCACGCCCTGCCTTCCAGTGCAAACACAGGCGAAGCGGCCAGCCGAGCCAGCCGGGAAGGACTCAGCCAGGCTCTCGACGCATCCCGTCCCCCAGGGAAAGCCACCGCTACCACCCGGCACAAGCTTCTGAAACTGGGTTGCTGTCCTCTCAGATTCACAAGACAGGAAGTCAGAAGCCACCCAAGCGCAGGAGTGATACCAGCTTATAAAATAGTGAAAAGGAAAAAGAAGCTCACTCCACACATCTGGCTCTGGCCCCAAGTCTAGATACACACAAGTCATACAGATAACTGTTCTGCTGGGGTCCTTGTACTGGTACCGCATCGTTAGCACCGTTTGTGTGAATAAGGATCCAGGCGTTTTCTAACATGTAAATGAAAGATACCAAAGTCAAGTACAAAAAATATTTTGCAGTTTGAAGTGAAGCTCCAACATCCCCTTGTGACTAGGAAAATGACTACCAAGGCCGATTTTGGGTTTTGGGTTTTTTAAGGTACCAAGGACTGGGCCCAGGGCATCAGCAGCGAACTAACAGTTCCAGCCCTTTCTAAATTTTGAGAAACGACCTCTCTTAAGTTGCTAAGGTGGCCCAGGCTGGGCTCACACTTATGATCTTCCTGCCTCAGCCTCCCAGAGGCTGTGGTATTTTGAGATCAGTGTCCTTTTCCCCATATTGACCTAAGTCTTAGTAGTTTCATTCCTGATCCAGTCTTATACCCAAGAAATCAACGAAATTGATGTAAACTCCAACCAGAGTCCTGCAGGAATGCTACTGAACACTCCTAAGCATTCAAAATGCTTCAATACATAGGTGGCTCTCCGGGCTGGGAATAGAGACGTGCATAATAAAAGCATATTGAAGACATTGCAACACAATGTCCCCAGACTTAATGGTCACCCCAGCTTAAACATACACGTTAATTCATTCCTCCACACCCAGTAAGATGTCTTCATTTACTGTGAAAAAACTACAATCACGTGGGACAGCTCGCCTCCATCCCACGTCGCTGCTGGGTCTCCAGCTGCAGGCTGCAGGGCACACACCTGGCTACTAGCCACAGCCAAGTCACCTCACTCCCACCGCCAGGGGCATCCAGGCAAAGCCAGGGCTGGGGCAGCCCAACAAGTTCAGTTTGGTGCTTTTCATGCTCCTGAGTTAGGAGCTGAATTAGAAGAACACTAGTAATCGGTCTTCTGTGTTTCCACTACACCCTCTCAGAACCCAGCGCTGGTCCCTGGTTCTCTCCTCCCCCTCAGAAGAGGTCAGAGTCTCCTAAATACCAGCCCTCTTTTAGATTGGAGACTTAGGTTCTAGAAGCAGAATTCATGGAATACATGCACATAAATCTTCCCACTCAGATTTTTATTCTTTACAGCTTATGCACAGGCTTGTCAGAACGCTGTTTTGTTTCTTCGTGACACTTTAGAAGTTACCCTGCGATCAGTTCCTCCTTCGGCTCACCACTTCTCCTCACAGTTCCTCAGGCCCTTTCTCAAGTACCTGTTACTGAACCATTTGGGGATTCTATGTTTAGACACGTCAGACTGACCTTACACACTGATGACTTTCTTTTCCTTTATTTCAGTAGTCACAGATCTTAAATTAAGGCATTTATTTTTATGCATACCTACAATCAAGATTCCCCAATGGTTTATGTTTCTAAAAATACTTTCTGGGCTTTTGAAGGGAGTATTTGCAAAATATTGCTTAAGAAACAGAGAGACACGATCAGACCATATTTTAACATCAAAATTGACATATCCAGAAGGTCTAGGAAGGCCTATGAGTAGACAATTGGGGTCCTGGATCACTGGCGGTGCCACCATATTCCCCAGGCTCTGGAAAACCTCCCAGAAGAAGAGTACAAGCTCTTAAGAAAAGTAGCACCTTGGGATGAGGGACACAGCTTCCCACCAATTAAAAACAGTGACAAAGACCAAGCACATAAATCCATAAATGTGTCTTCCAACACAGCTGCTACTGACTGATGCGGCCTGAGATGTTCCCTCAAAAGGTATAGAATTGCAAAGGGATACAATGGTCAAGTACATTTTGCTTAATCAATGAAACATCACATTAACTAAAATAGTGTAGTCGAGATCCTATCTCAAAACAAAAAATTAAAAGGGCCAGGGATGCAGCTCCGTGGTAGAGCTCCTGCTTAGTGCAGCCAAGGCCCTGGGTTCGGTCCTCGGCACTGCAAAAATAAACAGAAAGTAGGCTGAGTTTGCTTCTGTGTGCTTAAGACACTTGTATATGCTGTGTTCTAAGGAAGAGGAACAGCGATCCTTTCAGATCCAACGCCACACATGTTTGAATCATAAGTCAGACACCACGTGCTGCTTTGGCCTTCAGGTCACCAGCACTGGTCCAAGTGCAGGCAGGAAATTGGTGGGATCTGCACACTCAAAAGGAGCGCAGGTGAGCAGGATCTGAGACTGCCCTGAGGAGCAATGCTAATTCTGTGTGACACGTACAGGAAAACTATTTTAGGTGTAAATGTACCTTGAATGAGTTCCGAAGGTCTAAGTCAGGCCTGTTTAACATGCAGACAGTTTTTCTGCCAATAACATAGGGCCCAAAACTTTGGAATTCTCGCAATAAACCCTGGTTCAGAAAGGAAGCACAGTGCGGTTCCCACACCCTCACCTCCTCTGGAACATCTCAGCGCTTTGGAGATGGCTCCGAATGGATCAGCCTTCGGAGTCCACTGCATCCCAATTCAGTTTCCATTCTGCTGATGTCACTTTACCTGCTCAGGACTTACAGTATCCGGGCAACTGACGATGCATATTGCAACAAGTGAATATTTTTATATGGATCAATTTTTCTATTTCCTTAAGTACTGCTTCTTCTTAAGCTTAGCTTTACTGATGCTATGACCCCACTCTAGCTAGACGATGGCAAGGCCTAGGGACAAACAATAATGTAAAATAAACACACCCTTTTGAATTATCAATGTGGTGGCTTCAACTGCAATTTCTGTGCACACACTAAGAATATCATACATGGGAAGAAGAAAAAAACATGACATATAAATGATCAAGTTACCCAGAAGTCTAGTTCAAGTTCACTCAGGATATCTTCACAACACAGATAATTGCTTATTAAAATCTTATGATTAACATTCAATGGTGAATATGAAACAATGGTCAGATCCAATATTCCCCACCACACAGATACCTACTGTCAGATGTACTCTAAACACTTCAAGCTGTGCTTTAAAAATGTTCAGTCTCAGGCAGCAGGCACATGTTGGGAATCCCAGTTAATTGAGACACTAAGGTGAGAACATCACAAGTTCGAGGCCAGCCTGGACAAAATACAAGAAGGGCTGGGAACATAGCTCAGTGCTAAAACACCAGCCTAGCACATGGCAGGTACTGGGTTTAGGCCCCAATACTAAAACAAAGTTCAAAAAAGAACAGACAGTAAGCGTCCCTGGTTATACAGTGACAAATCTTAAGTGTCAAGGCCAACAGGAAGTCACTATTATTAATGTGGCTTCTAGGTACCTCCTTGTTCAAAGCACCACTGCATTTCACAGTGAAAAGCATACAGCCTCATCAATAAACACTGAGCAAAACGTGAGGAATGTTACTAATGAGGTAATAACGGGCCAAAGGCTAAAGTCACAGAACAGTTTGTGCATCCTGAGTTTTCTTAACAGAGACTTAATTTTTAATAAAAAGCAAAGCTTTCATTTGGAAAGCTTTGTCCCTCCCCTCAAAACTGGGTTAGAATTCTATTAAATAAGGTCAAATAAAGATCTGATTACAAAATTAGCTGGGTACTTTAGAGAAACACCAATTTGGTAAGTGCTGAGCCCACCTAGGAGCTGCTACCTGACTCCCTGGGGGAAAGCAAGGCCCTAGGCAGACCAGGCACAGTGGACTACCTCCTCCCGTCTAGCACAGCCATGGCCTGTGCTGAGCAGCCATGCTCAGACTGGACACGTGCAGCCTGGCCTCACTCTCCTCTGGCTTCCCCATGATTCCGCTCCAAGGGACTCAGGACCCATCTCAGATGTACTGCTGTGACTCGGCCCCTGCCACCAGATGGGCTGCAGGATCTGGTAATGGGTGCCACCTCCAACACTGCATGCAAAGGGCACAGGAAGACTGAGGCCAGCCGGCCCCACCTCTGATGGAGGTCAGTAGCTGAACTCACTGGGCCATTGGGCTCCTCTAAAAACATGAGTGGACATAAACTCAGCTGTGACTATAAAACCGTGACTTTTCTGCAGCTGTAGAATAATCAGTGTCCCCAACACCAGAGCACAACTTCGAGCAGCACTCCTGCTGGACTCTGCTCTGACCTGGCTCAGTCAACAGAGCAAGAAGCTCTAGGTTCCTCCCCACTGCCAGAAACTGCTCGAGCTTTCAAAAAACCCCTCCGATGGCTGTGCATGATGACACCCACCTGCAGTCCCAGCCCGCTGGGGGGCCAAGGCTGGGTAATTTGGTGAGACCCCTTTTAAAATAATACTACTAATAATAATAATAACAACAACGACGAAGAGCTGGGGATGTAACTCAGTATGAAGACTCTAGGTTCAATCCCCAGTACCACCACCACCAAAAAAAAAAAAAAAATCTTCAAATAATCCCACTTTTGGACCCAAGTAATCTCCTGAGGCAATCTGCTTAAAATAGACATTAATTATGTAAATCCAAACCACTGTCCATCCTTTCCCAAAAAGACTATGGAAGGGTATTATGACTTCATCCCAGAATTACACTGCTTCAGCACACCATACAGAAGATCACCAGAGAGCCATTACCATCCCAAAAAAAGTCTTTAAAAAGCCAGGTTGCCATTAGAGAGAATTTTGATTTGAGACATTAACACATTCCCCTCCAAAATGAGGTTCCTCTGGTACAAAATGAAGTGCCTTTGGGGAAGGGGACAGATGTGCACCTCTGATGAGTATTCCCGGAGCCCCACGGAAACCACTGCATCACAGGTAAGGGTGAAGATTCAGGTACAGCTTATTGTCCAGAACACCCAAGTCCAGCACGATTCCCAGGGCGCACAGCCCAGCCAGGAGCTGCGTGCAGCCCAGCTGTCGACAGCCTGGGGGTGCCAGTCACAGGCTCGTCTCCTCGCACAGCCGCACGGGGACGTTGTAGTGCCGATCATCCTCCGCGATGAGGGTCACCACCGGCCAGTCCCTGGGTGGGTCAGTGGGGTAGACTGTGATGAACTCCTCAGTGTTGTACTTGGACAGCCGGTACACGCGGATGGTGTGGCACACGGCATAGGCGAGGAGGAACATCTCCACCTGGAGGAAGAGCAAAGGCGTGCGCTGGGGAAAGCAGGGCGATGCCGGCCCCAGGTGGGATCCCAGACCACTCGGCAGCAAGTGCACTGCAACCTGCCCTCCAGGGGCCCAGTGCCAGTTCTTTCTCTGCTAAAAGGCAGAAAATCAAGACTGCAGCAGGTGCTTGAGAAGGGACTTGTAACCAGAATTATAAGGAATATTTACAACCCAACAACTAAAAACACACTAGTGAGACACTGGCCCACACCTGTCACCCCAGCACTCAGGAGACTGCAGCAGGAGGACTGCTGTGAGTTCTAGGCCGGCCTGGACTACACAGTGAATTTAAGACCAGTTGGAAGTATGTAAAATGAAAAACTAGAGAATAAACAGCTTACAAAAACAGTTTGAAAGACATTTTCCAAAGAATATATGTAAATGGCCAGTAAGTACTTGAAAGCATGCTCAGCAACATAAATCATTAGAGAAATGCAACTCAAAACCACAGTAAGATGCCACTTCACACCCACCAGAACGGCTACAATCCAAAAGGAAGATGAAATGGGACACAGACTGATGGCCAGTGACAATGTACAATGGTGCCGTTGTTCTAATTTTTAACACAGGGTCTGACTGTGTAGCCCAGGCCGGCCTCAAACTCATGATCCTCCCACCTGAGCCTCCCAAGCAGCTGAAATACAGGCCTGTGCCACCACATCCTGCTCCAGTGCAACTGCATTAAGCAGTTTGGCCATTCCTCAAAAGACTGACAGGGAATGCCACATGCCCAGAAACTACACTAGTCAGCACACACTCGAGAGAAACATGTCCCCATGAAACCACCCGTGAGCGTTCCAGCAGGATCATTCATAACTAAGTAGCAGAAACAGCCCACACATATCCATCAAACTGATAAATAAAACATGATGCATCCACAAATGAGGTATCATTTACTTGTCAATAAAAAGGCACCAACCAATACACGGTGCAATATAGATGCATCTTTAATGTATTATGCTCAGTGAAAAAAATCAGTCACAGGAAACTATACAGTATCCAATTCCATTTACATGAAACATCCGAATAGACAAATCCAGAAACAGAAAACAGACCAGGGGTCCTGGCCAGGGATGTTGGGCAGGAAGTGACTGCTAGTGGCTTGGAGGTTTCTTTGGGAGGTGGTAAAATGATCTGAAACTAGACTGCAGTGGTGGCTGCAAAACTGTCAAAGACTGAACTTGACCAGATGTGTGTAAATTACATTTTTTTAAAATTTTGCTTAAAAGAAATGAACTCACCACTACAGGGTCTCAAAAAGGACCCACTTCATTCTAATATGCAAACCATCCTCTTGCAGGTCTCTTCCCAGCAGGTATTTACTGCAGTTCATGAGACATCAGTCATCCACGTGACAAACACGGGTAACTTCTTAAAATAATCTTCTTCAACCTGCCTAGCCTGGCGATGGCCATCGGTCTCTGCTGTTTGTGGTACCCTGAGGATAACGATGGGGCGGCTTCTACCCATCAGGACGGTGTAGAGAGCGCCCAGCTTGGCTCTGTAATCCTTACCGTGTCTGCCCTGGCACTCAACCTTTTAGGACCAGAGCCCATGATGCAGGCAGAAAGGTAGCACTTCGGACAGAAAGCCCTCCTGACATCTTAACAGCCCACTAAAACCTTTTAGGGAAATGACCATACCAAACACAGCAGGACAAGGTATGGCGACTCATCTGTTGGCTTAAAGCACAGGGCTGCGCTGGGTGTCTACACAAAACTCCAAATTTAGCACATGTCTAAAGGCCCAAGAGAGGAGAGGCTCTACTGATGAGAGTAACGCCATCTCTAACGCAGCGACAGCTACCAACAGTGAGTGAGACCCTTCGAATGGCCCTTCCATGGGCTCCCCTTTAGAGTCTCCCAGAGCCAAGCGCTAATGCCATCCACACTCCCCAGAAGAAAACCCGAGATTCTATAAACAAGGCAGCAACGAACTGTCAGCACCCTTCCTTGGCACGGCTCACTGGGAAGAGAGAGCTCAGTCCCTTCTTCTCAGGAGTGGCACCACAGAATATCAGCTCACAGAGGCTTCTTCTTCGCTTGCTACTTGGATCACTGAGACATGCCAGCCATTAGGGGACACCCCAGTACCCTCTGGAGAGGTGCCCGCCTGTTAATGAGGAGCTGAGGCTTCCTACTGAGAACACACAGTCATGGGAGTCGATCCTGCAGCCCCAATCAAGACTGCAGAAGATGGTGGCCCTGCACATCACACACAGGTGACCTCGGACACCCTGGGCCACAACCCCCAACTGAGCTGCTCCTGAACCACTCACCTATGAACGCTACGAGACCACACTCCATGGTTACAGCAGCTACATTCTGAAATAACACACTCCTGAGAGCACAGCGTACCTGTTCAAGGCCACCAGTGTGCCCCACCTGGTTCAGGTGGTTTGTCAGCAGCTGTCCTGGGTCATTCGATGTGTCCCGAGCAAACAGGAGCACGCAGAAGAGTGGCACGTCCTTCCCCTTCTCCTTGTCATCATACAGTTCGATGGCTCTGCTCAGCATTAGAAACTTCACGGCTTCGTACAGGCTGTACTCCTCCTCCTCGTTTCTGAACAGTTGGTCACAAGCCATCTGTCTCTCCTCAGCAGTCCTCATTTCCACCAGGCCTGCCCACTGCAGTAAAGAAGTCATGTGACGCTCAGAGTTACGTTGCTCTAAAAATCCCCGGCATGAACGCTTCTACACTATGAATGCGACATTACTTTCCAAAGTGAAGACTGCATCATTCCAGTGCTCATAACAGTCAAGCTCCAGTTCCAACACGGCACCCTCAGACCATGAGGACCCTTTTCAGATTTTCTCACATTAATTTCAAACAGAGGTACAATGGGATAAGGAAAGGCAGCAGGGCCGTGCAGCCTCGGGATGGAAACGTCAAAGGAACCGGACGATCAGAGGCCCTGGGAGAGCAGCACACGTGTGTGGCCTGTGTGAGGGGCGGAGAAGGGGCTGCGCCTCCTCCCACTCTGAGGGGCTTTCACGAAGTAATTGCCCCAAGACCCAATGCTACCCATCCAAAATGGAATGCAGGGAAGGAAAATTAATGCGCTCACCTGAGTACCAGTTTACTAAACTCACCTTCTAACCTCTTAAAAATACACGTAAGCTCCCAATGTGTAGGTCCGCTTAAAAGAGTCTCACTGACTACTGACTGAGAACAAAGCAGGCACCAAGTATTCGCTAACACAGGCCAACTCTTTCCGGGAAGAGCAAGTAAATCCTGCAGATAAGTGAGCTTTTAAGTAACAGTGGTAAGAGCAGTCAGCCTAACTACCACCAGCCCTGAGGAGTAATCAGGGACCAGGGCCCCTTTCAAAAGCCACTGTGGAGTCTGCATCCAAGATGAAATGTTACTGGTAATGATTACCAGAACTCTCCATGGTATTTGGGTTGAAACTTAGAACCTGCTGGCCACATCCCATAGTTTCCAGGGTAGGCCAAGCTGGCAGTCAGTAGCAAGCTCTAGAGGCTGCAGCACAGAATCAAAGTCCTGCCACCAAGCAGCTAGTAGCTTCTGCAGGACATTTAGCCAACCTCTGGGTCTTAGTTTCCACATCTATGAAACAGGGATGATCACAGGGACATCACCCTCGTAGCTGTGAGAAGAAACTAAGGCATAAAATTTTCAGTATAGAGTATGCAGAAGTATCAGTACTGGTTACTAACAAGTATCAGTGCTGTTATACACTGGCAGTACTTAAAACACTCCACGAAATGACAGTCTAATGAGAACAGACATACCCAGTAAAACAAAAATACCACTTCCAAGCTCCTTAGAGAAGACGAAAAGGAAACTGCCATGCAGCTCGGCTGTAGACTCCTCCCTGCTCACACACACACAGCCTTGCCCTTCAGCTCCCCCAAATCCCACGCTCCACTCCAGTAGGTAACAGGAAAAGAAACCTCTTCCCTTCTCTCTCCCCCTTTCATTTACAGTAAAAGATAAAATACTGGGCGTCATTTGACAAATACTTCCCAGGAAACACTTATCTTTCTAAGTAACAATTAGACGCCAGGGCATCAGGGCCTCAGCTCACTCACTCAACAAAGAATTTACCAAATGCCTGTCATGCGCCAAGTCCAGTGCTAGGCACTGGGCACGAGGCACACACAGGAGAGCCGCTCCCAGAGCTGGAGTCTCAGGCTGCAGGCAGACTAAGCGAGAGCAGACAGATCAGCGGGGTACACGCTGTGAGGAAACCCAAAGCCCAGAGCCCGCCTCCTGACCTGACCCTTCCTACACTGACAAAGCCTGCAGCCATCGACAGCCCCTTACTTTGGGCTTCCCAGTGGGGAGGGCTCCAAGTTGCTCAAAGCAAACAACCCGGAAGACAGCGTAGGCCACGTCCCAGCAGGAAGGCCAACCAGAAAAGACAGCAGAAAACCGCAGAATTCTAAACACCAATTCAAGAGGACTCAGTACACCAAGTTCTCTTTAAACTCTATTTCACCCAAAACCTCAGGACAGTTTTCAAAGGTCAGGTTATGAAATCTAGTCACTAGGAGACCATTAGGAAAGAAAACAAGTCTTCAGTGAACACAGACAGAATCTTCCCAGAACTGGGAAAAATAAGTATGAATTAGCATCATAACAAAAGAACTATGGACTAAACGATTATCCCTAAAACCTATAAATACAACTTAGAACAATGACTAAACTAAGGTTTCCTTTTAACAAAGTTCTACATTTCACGACATGATACACTAATGCATGGCATCTCCTCCAAGAACATGTTGGTGTTTCTCATTTTACCAAAGATCTCCTGGGAATTTCTGTTTATTTGTTTTCCCTAAATATCAGCCCATTACAGTCTTCAGAACCAAGAACCAAAATACGCCTTTTCTTCATTGGTGTAAGTGACTGTGAATGAGCCAAGAGCACCCGCTACTGCAGTGAGCGGACGCTATGGAGGGGGGCTCGGCCGCACGGTCCAAACCTTGTTCCTCAGCAGCGCGAGCGAATCCTTGATTTTTTCAACCAGGTCCTCACTCCTCCTTTCGAATTTCAGTCCCAGTTTCCACTGTCTGATCCAATGGTATCTGCTTATCAGCTTTTCCGGCAACTAGAATATCAAGAACAAGAAGATAAAGAAGTGTTAATATTCCAAGAAATCCACCATAGACAGTTCAAGCCGGAAGAAACCATGAATCCTGCAAAACCTACTTTTATTGCCAAACTTAATCCCTGCAGGTCTGTCCTGCGGGCTGAGGGGAGAGAAGCTACATTTGGGAGTCAGGAACCACATGGGGGAGCTTCCAGCATGAGGGGCACTTTTGGGTGGGACACACAGGCGCAGTCCAGCATGCAGAATAGCAGCCGCACCCAGGGACACTGCTCAGCAGCTGGGAGGATAAACCAGAGCAGGATCATGCAGTGGGGCTTCTGGGCTCACGGACAGCCTCCCTGTGCTCCTAACACACGGCTCCGGCATGCTCAGGATGAAGTCAACATTAGACTGTGCTCTTTTTGTGATTAGGAAAGTAAAACCTAATTACAATTTAAAAAAAAAAATAACAATAACAAAGCAGAAAAAATATTTTGGTTAAACAATATTAATGCATTTACAAGGGGTGATCAAAATATACGGTGAGTATGTAAATTTTTTAAAATGTACTACAGGAAGCCATGATTCATTTCAAAGTGCTCCCCCTTGCTCTGAACACACCTGTCCCGTCATTCTGGGGAAGGCCTCGGTCCTGAGTTCTAAAGAAGATGTGACCCACAATACTAGGGACACTGCTGCTGACTTCCATCCAGTGGAAGAACGGACTTACAGACACTTTAAACTGATGCAGGACCCTGAGCAGGCACCACAGAACACTGATGAAACAGGACACTAGAGATACACCTGCAAGACAACGTGCAGAATGGCTTCAAGAAGTAGCCATTGCGGAGGCCTCGGCTGTGCTCAAAGTGAGGCGGGGACTGAGGGGGGCTTCCCAGCAATGTGTCTTTACTGCAATACATTTTTAACTTTAAACATTCACCATGTTTTTGACCATGCCCTGTACTGAAAACTTTAAACTTTTGTAATACCTGTCTTCTCATCATCACAGTGAGATACACAGACAACGGAGACTCCGTGGTGAGAGTTTGGGTCTCACTCAGGAAAACACAAGGCTGAACTGCTGTGCGGCCGCTCCTCAAGTTTTCATTTTGTTTCCCCCTAATTATCAATAGAATCTGGAGTTTAAAAGGCAAGCTGAGACACACCCCGACTAACGAAGGCATGGGAAGTCTTGGGTGTGTCAGGAGAGAAATCTCATAATTGGGCTGGGTACAGGCATGTCACTCCACTGCTATAAATTTCAGCAAGGAAAAAAGTTCACCTCTGCATCAAAAAGATCATTAATGAACAACTAAATCCCACACATCTTATGGGGACCCTGAACTTAACACTTATAAAGACAGTTTGAAGTAAGGCCGTACATATGTCCAGTTTTACTGGAACCCAAGGCTCAAATTGCAATCCTGGTTGTGCCTCCTCGGTCTACGGCAGTGATGTGAAATCAAGGCAGTATCATCTCTACAAAAAACAGAATCGCAAGCGGGACACAAACTACTCTTCACCCTGACCACAGCGCTGGCGACCTGTATGGCTCATTAAGGCAGATGTCCCACATCTTATTATGGTGAGTGATTACCCGCCTAAAAGCCATGAAAGCCAGCTCAGGGACACACTGCCTGCAGGCTGACCACAGGTGCAAAGCCCTCACTCTGGTCTCTCAGATCCATCCCCAGAACCTACACGCCCCCAGGTGGTAAGGAGCGGGAATGACAGCTGACTCGAAGACCAGGAGAAGGCAGAAAATCCTGGCGCCACAGGCGGCATGGGAAACAAGGGAAATGCAGCCCAGGAGAGCAGCGGCCCAGGAGGGCACGGTGATCTGAGGAGCGAGGACAACATCGACAGAATACTCTGGAGACCCCAGAGAGCTGTGTGCACCAACACACGGGGTTAACTTCGTCAACAGTTTCACTCGATGGTCAATCTGTTGCTACAGTGACTATCTAACCCAGGGCTGCGTGGTTGCAGGAGATGGGGAAATCCTGGAGAAAGTCCAATAACTTATGAGAAAAAAACTATTAGTGAAGAAGAATGGAACTGGAATTCTATTTATACAGGGGAAAGGCAAACTCTGTATCCTCTCAGGATTATAACACACAGAACAGGCACCAGTCATTCCTTTCCCCTAAGCTGATACAGGACTTGTTAGAGTAAGGGAGATTTAAGCCAAAAGAAAAAAAAAAACACCAGATTTACAACATGAAAGGAATGCCTGGAAACACTGAATAATCCAGTAGGCGGTTCGGTGCCGCTCCGCTTGTGGCTGACCTGTAAAACAGCTTACTTTCTCAGCAAATGCCTATAACCCTTGTTACCACTACACAGCGCAGACAGCAAAAATGTGCCATCCCCAAATCAAACTCACAAAGGGAACTCTGACATCATGCTCTAGCAAGGCCCTCCTCTAAACCACACCTCCTTCTCAGGGTGCCTTCTCAGGGTGCCCGGTGCTGTCCTAAGAGGAAGAACAGCCAAACTGGGCCATTTCCAAGGCAGGGCTCGGGATCAGGTGATTTAACTACAGTCAAACCCAGAATGGGTTCCGGACAGAAAAGGGCAAACAGGAGGCCCAGGCAGGGACAGGAGACGAGGGGCAGCCAAACTATGAGGGCAGGAGGGACAGAGTCCAACTGACAGGCAGGTACCAGAGCAAGGCCAGGGGAGCCAGGCGCAGCGGGGAGCGGGGTCCCTCCCTTCCAGTCTAGGTGAAGGGGAAGGCTGCACAGAATCCCGTTTTCCTGTAACACCCTGAAACCAATGGACACTCAGAAAAGGGGAAGGTGACTTCTGTAATATGCAAATACAGGCTTTAAATAACAAATCAAGTGGCGCACTCAGGAAGGCTTTGTCTGGACAGACTGTCCAGAGGAAGAGGCAATGTGGGGGCCAGAGAGCGAGGGGCGCCCAGAAGGCATTGCAGAGGGTGAGGGACACCTGAGAGCGTAGCCCGCTTGGGCACAACGGACCAGTCTCCTTCCCACAGCCACCTCCAGAAGGAAGCCGGTGGTGGCTGTCACCAGTGGGCCTCCAGAAGAAACAATAAAGCAGCCTGGATCCAGAAGGGGCTCAAACCCCATCACACTGCTGGTGGCTGGACCAGCAGGACAGGATTCAGGCCATGAGGGCAAAAGAAAGCAAGTCATCTCTCTGGTGGACGTTCAGCAGGACCCAAGTGCAGGACACACGCACACTGGACTCTTTTACACCGGCCTTCTGGCATTTAATAAAGCTGAGATGAAAATTATACCATTACCAGCAGCTAATTAGACCCGTGCTCTCAAGAGAAAGTACACTGGCTGAGACACATCTAAGAGAGAAGAAACAGAAAGAGCACTGGAGAATTCCCGAACTATCTTTGCACTGTTCAAAGTAAGTCAGGGAAACCACAACAGAGTCCCGTGATTCACATGAGCAAGAAATTCTAACGTGAACCAGAGACTTAACGGGATCTACCTGGCTTGTTTTTATGAGGGCAGCTGCTGTGATCCAAATGGACCCTGTTAGAAGAAGAGAAGGGATTCCAGGCCTTACTGACTTTTTTAGGGTTTACTTTATATTGCTGCACTGTTTGCAGCAATTTCTTAAAAAATATAAAACTTTACATTGAATGTCAATTACATCTGAAGAGTCCCTTAAAGATTTAAAAGCAAAATAAGCTTAAACTGAGAAGAACTGAATGCCATCATCAATAGACTAAGCTATGGTCACCCAGCAGACAGTGAAGTCACCATCTGCTCCCCTAGTGTCGCAATGTCCTCCCAGGGGCACGCTTTTGCTGACTGATCCACAAGTCTGAAGGATTCTACTACTACTGCTACTAAAAATTATCAGCATTTGCGAATGAAAAACCAGCTTATGTATCAATTTCTTTTGCCTCCGTATTAAAGAAATAAGCTAAAACTTGTTGAAGATTTTAGATCTCTGCTGAGAAGTCGGTGTCCTTCCCAGATGCTGTTTTGACTGTTTATAGAGGTGTTGATTTTACACTGGTTTGTAGACTGGATCATAGCGAAAAGGTCAATCCCCTACCACCAGTCCCAGTGCTGCCCTCCAGAGCCTGAGACACCTCGTCCACTAAAAGCTTAGCCAGGAGTAAGTTTCCTTTCAGAGTTCTCTTTTTATGGCTACAGTCTTCTGGCTAAGATCGAGTGCATTATCTGTTCTATCAGTTCATGAAAGTCCTCTTCATCCCCGGTAAACACCCTGGCTCCTTCAGCCGCCCTGGAATGAGATGAACCATCCTGCTCACATGCACATGGTACTGAGGACGCACACTCGGAGCTCAGCTCGGCCCTCAGGACAGGCTCTGGCTCCAGTTCACAGAAGGCCAGTCTCCTCCTGATTCGTAGGAGCATTCATCCCTCCTAAAACACCACCGAGGCTATTATCATGCTGGCCGTCACATTCTAGGACGCACAGTGGGCCTGCAATTAAAATCCTGGTGCCTTTTCCCTTTCACAGGTCTCTTCCGGGCAGATCTCCCATAGCTAGCCACTCAGCAGTGAGGGTGACGTTTTTCTTTCTGGAGGACTTTACAGGTTTTCTTCCAACTAATGTCACACTGTCAGTCTGACCAACCATGTCTGCATATCGAAGTCTTCCAGGATGTTCTATCATCCACCTATCGTGCGAGCCTGTGTGTCAGGACCCGTGGACCCCGATGTATTTCTACTGCAGGGCAGATTTAAACACTAACCGGGGTCAGACCTGCAAGGCTTCACTGCACGGGTGCTAGACATTCCACCATGCAGAGAACACTGATCTCTGAACTATAGTGACAACCAAAGACATGTGGATTCTAAAACTCTGGCAGGTTCTCAAACAGTGAAATGTACCACACTTAACGAGAACATCAAAACACATGAGACTGTTCCGAAGTGCTTTTCACAAACCCTAAACATCTGGCTTCCAGTTTAACAGAACTGCTTCAGCCTTACTATTTGTCTCTTCAGGAAACAGCAATTACTTCTGGTCACTTCACCATGTGAAGTTATCGCAGACACACACAACCTGGATGAAACCAGCCGCGGACACCACACTGCGGACAGCGGGCAGTGTGGGCAGGAAGGGGATCTTCTCTCAAAGCCACCAAGTGCTGCAAGTCAGCGTGCAAACCTGCCGCCACGTACCAGCGTGAGGTCGGGGTCCCGCAGCCAGGGGGGCAGCTCGGCCGGCTGGCTCATCGCCTGGAACAGCGTGGCCCGCAGCGCACAGTAATTGTCCCCACGGACTCGGCGGATCGAGGTGAACTTCTGAGAGACCTCCTCATAGCCCTGGGAGAAAGGAGCAAAGAATTCAGAATAGTGGTCATGAACTTCAAGCAGTAGTAAGAGCCCCACTGCTGTGGAAACATTTGCCCCAGACCACTGGAAAAATGGGAAGACGACGAGCAGAGTAGAGTCCTCCTTGTAAAACACCGCAGTGCCTCTTCAGTAGTCCTTGTACTCCAGAGTTAGAATTGGATAAAGCATCAGCTTATTAAGACACGCAACACCTGACCTACGAAGTAGTAGCAGTGTCAGGGAACCAGCCACCCCACAGCTGAAGCCCAGTGGCCCTTTCAACCACTTCGGGAACACTGTTCAGTGACAGCATTTTAAATAAAGGTTCACCTGTGTTTAAATCAATCCCAAATGCTCTTTGATGAAGAGAACAGGAAGTAAGAGATATACTGCCTTCACAACTCCAAAACCCAAGTGTCCAGGCATATGTGTACAGGTATAAACACATATCTTAGTCCTCAGAGCATAAGGATAATTTTGTCATCAAGACACCTAAACAGAACCATGTTTATTCTTCAGAAATTTTCTATTGATGAATTATTAAATTTTATGAGTATTAAACAATGAGTATTTAGCAGGAAAATCACAAAAGTATTGAGTTTTTAGTATTTATTGTCTATAAAAATGCATCAAAATTTTCAATATCACCTGGTTTTTTGGAGTACAAAGTCCAAAAGAACATCAAAAATAAATTTCCATATGCACTACAATGAAAATACCAAAGCACTCTACAAAAAAATAATCTCCACTTTAATTGTCACACCTAAGGCAGTCTGCAGACTTCACAAGAGCACATTCCACACACACGCATCACTTACACTGACAACATGTCTTCTGCTTTTCTGGCCTTTACACTTAACATCTCGGTTGTCCTGCTGTCATGTCAGGAGGTTCTTACTACATTGCACAAAGTGTAGTTAACAGGAACATAGATATCAATAAATTATTACAATATTAAAATGTTTAGACATCGACTTTGTCACATAAGCTCTGTACTTCCTTACAAAACCCAAAAGACAGCATCAGAATTAAGTTCCTTTGCAAACTACAATGCAAACACCAAAGTCTGTCGCACAAATATGCTTTGCTTCAACTGCACATCCACTGCAGTCTTCACACGGGACAATTGCACGCTCCATGCACAGGTCTCGCTCACACTGACAGCACCCATGCTTAGCTTTCCTTTCCTGTGTGGCAGCTTTGTCACCTCGCTTCTCTTCCTGTGATGTCAGGAGCTTCTACGATATTGTACAACATGCACTTAGCAGGGAAATAAGATGTCAATAAAATAAAGTATCAAATATGTAATGAATGCTAACGATAGACACCAACATTTTCACATCAGCTATTTTCTTGCTTACAAAAGATAACAAAAAAACCTAGCTGGGTTTGTGGTGGCACAAGCCTGTAATCCCAGCACTGGGAGGCAGAGGCAGGAAGATCACTGTGAGTTTGAGGTCAGCCTGGGCTACAAAGTGAGATCAAGGCCAGCCTGAACTGCACAGTGGAGCTGTTTCAAAAAGACAAAATATAAATAAACAAGTGCGCACGCGCGCGCGCGCACACACACACACACACACACACACACACACAAAATCTATGTGAACACACACTAAAACACCACAGAAATAAGCTTTGCTTCAGCTGCTACTCCCACGGAAGACCTCACACAGGACGACTGCACGCTCCCTACACAAGCGTCGCTTACACCGACAGTATGTTCTCTGAACTTCCTTGTAGGGCACCACTGACACTTTTGTTGTCCTCCTGTTATCGGAGTAGGTCCTTGTGATGCTGCACCTGCCCGTTCACCTGTCAGCTTGCCATGCTCCACAACTTTTTGCATAGTTCCCTGGGCAGAAATTTTGTTTTTCCTCTGCTATAAATGATCTCCTATGAGCTCCAGTCCCAATCCTCTACGAATATTTCCCACTTGTTATTTTCTTTGTAAACTATCAAACGTCTTATGCCACACATGTTTACGACCAGTAAACCACAACCATTGGCTAATACTTTGCATTTCAAGGGACATCACGGTTGCTGTATAATCCATCAACAACATCTACTCTCCTTTTGGTTTTGTTGTAGAAAGATCCCATCACAGGCTTCCGTTTTGTCAAGGTTTTCCTATCAATATTTCCAGCATGGTGCAATGTGGACATCAGCAGTGCAGTTTGCTTTTCTTTACCATATAAGTCCAATGTTATATCTTTCTGAAATTCAGACACTGTACTGTACAATTCTGTTTTTACACTGCAACATTTCATTAGGAATTTCTGCTTTGTTCCTGCATATAGTCTGTGCTGCTCAATGTGTGCTCTGTTAGCAAATTCAACATCGATTGGAACCCAGTAAACCAACTGTCGAATGGCACATTTCAATTAGTCTGGGCAATGAGAGCAACCAGCCTGTTCACGGCACTATTTGGTTTATCACTGGATGAGTAGGGACCTGATGGCTGAGTTCCAGGATAAACGTCTACAATGAAAGAACAGCAAAGTCTTCACATCTATAAGGGCATAAATTTTTAATCCCATATTTTGAGCCATCTCTTTTCCATAATTTTTACATTCTTGCAAAACACATGAAAAACTTGTGCTAAGAACAGCGACCCATGAATTCTTTCAGTTCAGCTAGCAAGGTGTCACAGTAAATACACTTTATAATATGGCTATTGGTGCATACAGAACTTTTTACTTGCATTTCAGCCTCTGAGTATTCCACAAACCTTGTAGCATTTTGCCTGTTTCAACACTGAAGAGCAGCGCTGGCATTCTCTCCAGTGCCTTTCACGCTGCCAAGTCTCCCCACACACTGTATTTTTGGACCTAGTTTTGACATTGGATTGCTCCATTTGGTTCCAAGTCCATTTGGTAACATTTTGATTAGTCAAACACATACTCACATTGCTGTTTTCTTCATCATTGAATCAAGGAAGCCTGCACGCCCTGTGTCTGTATCAGTTGATTCTGGATCCATTTCACTGTCACAGGCACTTAGGCTCACATAGCCAATGTCAAAGTCATCATCATCATCATCATCACACCCACACCACTTTCGTTATGAAAGCATGTTATTTTATCATAATGGATCACCTTCATCATCCATGCATGAGTAATGTGATGATTCAGTTTTGTTTTTTGGTTTGGTTTGGTTGGGTTTGGTTTTGAGACAAGGCTTCACTACACAGTTCAGGCTTGCCTTGAACTCATTTAGTAGCCCAGGCTGGCCTTGAGCTCACAGCCATCCTCCTGCCTCAGCCTCCTAAGTGCTGAGATTAGCACACCTAGCCAGTTGATTTGCTTTTGACCTCCTCCAAAATTTGCAAATCTGATTTTTCATGTGCCATTATACTGAACTGCCCTACTTCTACCAGAAAAACCAAACAAAAACTTAAAACAAGCCTGGTGTGAATGGCCCCTCTGTGATGCTTGGGTAAAAATGCACCAGTAGCCATATTAAAAAGTGTATTTATTACGACACCTTGTTAGCTGAACCGAAAGAACAAAACCAAAGCACAAAGGTAGTTCTAAATTTCATTCTAACACTTTTGCACATGTGCACTGTCCTTGCTATTCATCATACCAAGTGGGTAAACACATAGATTGACCCCTGTACGCCTCAAGGAAAGATACCGAGACATACAACTGGCTACAAATTTACAGTAGAAAAGTAAGGGATGGGTCCACTGGACTCAGGCTTATGCCTCAAGGGAAATGGGAACGCATTCTAAGAAGAGCAATGTCAGCAATTTCACCTGTTCAAGCATCACAGAGTACACTTGTACACCCCAATGGCACAGCTGCCTATATGGCTTTGTCCTGGCAACTGATAGCAGTATATACCTAAGAGCCATGATGAACGGAACATTATGCGATTAAATCAAGCACAAAAGAAAATCAGGCAATCAAAAGACAAAGTAAAGATTAGCCGTATGCAGCTGCTGCCACTGGGATGCTACATACTGCATTACAGTAAGCTTTCTAAAATATGACAAAAATAGTAAAAACGTAACACAAAAGTCATTTGTTATAAAGTATTATACTGTGAGTGTTCCATTTTTATATGCCTGGCAGTACAGAAGGTTTGTTTACATCAGCATTACCACAAATATCTGAGTAATACGTTGTATCACAGTATAACCAATGGCTGCATCACCAGGTAATGGGAATTTTTCAATGATAATTTTACAGGACCAACACTGGGTATGTGGTTTGCTGATCACAACACTATGTGACACATTATTGTGTATGAGTGTGTAAAAATCTACAAGCTAGAAAATGACCAGATAATTCTGTTGCTTTTTTAAAAAGTGGATTGAAGTTTCACTCTTGCTCAGTCTGGAAGTACATAAATGGTCAATGGCCAGCTTGACCACTCAAAAGTAGCTATCTAAATGGACCATTCTGAGAAAAGACCCCATAGACGCCTATCGACTCTGGCCCACAGGCATGTGTGATGTGCATCGTTCCCGATGGGGCTGACCTGCTCCCTGGCCAGCCAGGCCTGCCATGCACCCTGCTCTTCACCCCTACCTCCTCCCCCACACTCACACAAGGAATGTCACGGGGAGTAAGCACCATGCAGACCACCCCACCCTTAGGCTGAGTCATTTTCAAAGTCGGTGTCACAGGATGAGATCCTAACATGAACATGAAAGTACTCCTTTCCAATAATAAAATTTTGAAGCACTCCATTTGTATTTTGCAGTCCAAACACTGCCATATACAAAGATAATAAGGGAGCTGCAGACCTACTAAGTCTTCCCTCCGGTGGGTCCGTACTTATCCCAGGAATACTGACCGCAGCAAATTCAACACAGCTACACCTTTCTAAAAACATAAATTAGGTGTCTCCATTTAAAAAATGCTACTGCAGAGACGAATCAAACTTTTTAAAATTACAGAATTACGCACACGTATGTCCAAAAGAATATTAAAATAGTAACAGTTGGGCAAATAACTAAAAACAGATCAAAGCTGTTACCAGGCAATTATGCCACAGGTCCTGACAAGATGCTTCTCCAACTGAGAGGCTGCAGTTATCGGGTTACTGAAAGAGGCCAACTACAGGGTCACAGCTTTCTTGGATCTGATCCCAGAGGAAAATGATTTGAGCAAGATTTCCAAAATACACATTGGGGTAATTCAGCACTGAAATGCAAAATGCCAACTTTTTAAAATACATCATTTAAAGAGATCCAAGCCATATTATAAACCTCAGGTTGGTGAAAGTATTTCTTGGAAAGATTTGAAACTAGTGTTTTGATATCTGGCTTTCTGATTACCTAGTCTGGAAGTTAGAAGAGCTTATGAGAGACTATCAGAGTCAGAAAAACTATCTCTAGTAGATAGAAAATATAAACAACCTAATATAAACAACCCAAAGAGAAAAACAGGCAAAAGACACAATCCAGAGGACACAAGAACTAGTGTAAGTTTTAGGTTGACAGCTATTTTTACACTATTATACTTTCAGAAATAGCAGCAATCTGCCCTGGTTCAGCCTATTAGGGCAGGATTGCCTGGGGTGCATCCTAACAGTAGAGTCATATGCCCTGCTGCTCCCTCTGGCCGAGGTGTCTGAGCCAGCTAGACCACATCATGGGAGCCTCTGATAGCATCCCACAGTCTTACAGGTGGCCTCAGAACCCCATGCATTGCCCCTTCATGCAGCAGAACTAAAAATGAGCAGTCCTGGGACACCGCCAGATGAGAAAGACACCCAAATGGACCACCACTGGTGAGGCCAGCTCCGAATAACACTGTCATGTAAGTGTTTTTCAAAGAAATTTAAGTTACTGAATAACTGATGTTGGTTCTATATTAATACTATGACTTCAAACAAGTCCCTTTTCTTTAGAGTCAGTTTCTTCATCTCTAAAATTAGAATGAAGTCTACCACCAGTAGTCTTAACCCATATCTAAAAATATAAAATGACATGGGAACTTACGACAGACGGTTCCAAAGACCTGAATGTGTGCGCCCCGGCCGTACCTTTTTCATACATGTGGCTTTCTGCGTATTGCCCCTCCACTCCTTTTTGCAGTAGTCCATTATGTCCATTTCAGGAGCCACACTTAATCTGGGTTCTATTAAAGAATCAAAAACAAAAACAAAAAAAGGTAACGAACCAAAGACGATCAAAATAGTGGCACGGCTTTACCTATGGTTCGCCCTTCCCACCTCACGCTCTCTCACTTCCTTTAAAAGGTCCAGATTCCCCCACTGCCTACCCACGAGGCCAGACCACCATCGCTGCACCCAGAGGAAGGGCATGGTGTCTCAGTGGGTCCCCTCTTGTCACCAGGGCCTCCAGACTGTCCTCCATGAGGCGGCCAGCCAGGGATCCCAGTTAAAGCCTGAGTCAGACGACAGTGGTCTCTGGATTCAGGGCATTGAGGGCCTCCTGCCTCTTCCTCATGGGAGAAAGCCACCACCTGACTGGCACCCCCAGAGAGCCCCACTCCCCGCAGCCCCAGCCACAGCCCTCCCTGGGCTCTCTAACACTGCTGGCCACTGGCCCGAGGCAGCAGCCCCCCGTGTCGTGATGCTATCACAGCTCCACATACCATCCTTTGCTTCTCCTGCTGGTTCTCTCCTCTCAGTGTTTATCAACACCTGGCACATTTTTATGTAACCCCATACACACACACACACACACACACACACACACACACACACACACACAACCACACACAAACATAATGAAACAGGAGCCCCTTGAAGACGAAGCCTCATCCATGAGAAGGCACTCCTACAACTCGTAATTAGGGACTTACATCTACTGCACAAAGAGACAACCTGTAGTGTAACAAAAATACATTTAACTGTCTATGACTTATATATCTATCTATCCTGCCCTGATCCCAAGTAATCAAAACTAGCAAAGCTCTCATTGTTAGCTGATCCACAGACTTCATTTGACTCTAACACATTACCCAAAATTATAAATACAACTCATGATCAAATAAATATTACAGGTTTTAGAAGCAAAAAAGGTTTTCAGATTTTCCTTATTTAACTTACATGTGGGGATTTAACCTATTTTTGAGGTGTATGTATACACACACATGCAAATGAAGAAAATGAAGTAAATTCCTGGGTACCTCCTGATTTCCTTTGTAAATTATTAGAAATAAGGATATGAGTGAACATTTTGGAACTTAAACCCAGAATTTATTTACTGAGGAAGTTATATATAAACATGTTTTTTGAGCTTGATTCACCAAATAGTTACTGAGTGTGTCTGGAATATGTCAAACCCTGAGCTAGGAACTGAAACTCAGAAGCAATGAAGATACAGACTCTGCCCTGAAGGGCCTCACAGACTACTGACAAAGACCACAGGCACTCGAGCCAGGATGTGACGGATGCCAGGATGGCCAGGGCACACCCGGCAGCCAGAAACCCTCCCTGCAGCTTAAGGAAGTCAAATCTTGTAAACTAAGAATCGCCTACTTTCAGTCGGGCTGGTGGTACACGCCTGTTATCCCAGCTCTCAGGAGGCTCAAGCAACATGATCGCTGCAAGTTCAAAGCCAGCCTGGGCTACGAAGTGAGTTCATGGCCAACCTGAACTGCATAGTGAAACCTTGTCTCAAAAAGACCAAAAAAAAAAAAAAAAGAATTACCTACTTTAAAAAAATTACTCACTCTGAATCCTTATCTTTTCATGAAGAAAATAAACCTTTTACATAAAAGGAAAAAGTATACATACATTAGGATTAGCTTAAAAACCAAACAGACCCACGAGGTGTATGCAGACACCACCTACACCAATGTTATACAACCAATCCTCTAAAGGCTTTGCATCTTCTAAATTCAAGAAATATTTTGTGTCCGCTTAGTGTGGGGAAGTGTTTTGTACCCGCCTTTCCACTTACCTCCCCCAAATCAAGAAGAACTATAAATGTACACACAGCAAGGACATACTTCCTGCTTCCCTCTCTGCTGCCAACTTACGTGCATACAAACACATACACACCCAGGACCTGGCCTGCAGGGAGGCGCTATGGGCTCACACACACAAGAGGTTAAGCCACAGGTCACCATCTCACACTGAATCAGAGCCCAGCATGACCTGCGGGGAGGCGCTATGGGCTCACACACACAAGAGGTTAAGCCACAGGTCACCATCTCACACTGAATCAGAGCCCAGCATGAGAAGGAGGGACAGGAAACTGGGTCCCAGCATAGCTGGCAGCATCAAAACCCTGCCTGAATTCCCATCTGGCCACTGCTCTGAGGAGGAGGACTTCAGAAGCCACTGCATGCCCGACCAGGCTGTGAGCAGGAAGGGAAGGCCACTGTGGGCAACAGTCCCTTTAACTACCAACTGCAGGCTCTGACTTCTGTTTCTTGGAAAGAATATATCTACACACAGAGTGATAAACAATGAAGCTGAAATAACCAAGGAGTTTGGTCCTTGATGACCAGATGAGTGACAGACATAAGGATCAGACCCCGGGAAGGTGGAAAATTAACATCCCTCTGGAAGGCTGGGACCCTCAGCAGGTAGACTGGAACAGGAACCTCAAACACTTTCTGACCTGGGGCAGAAAGGAAACAATGTCAGCTTTAACAACAAAAGTTTCTATTAAAACCACTCAACTTCACCATGCGCAAAAGCCACTGAAGACAGTGACTCAACTAAGAAGTTGGCAGGTCAGGTTCAGCCTCAAAACATGGTTCTCTCAGAGTTTTATTGGATCATTGAACAGAACTGTTTGCAGTATCATTGTTGGAATGTCCACTCTACAAGCTTTAATTTTGTGACTTGAACAATTATTTTTAAGATGGCAATATGTAATCCATTAACCAGTGATTTCCTACTGTTCATTTTTTTCTTCTGTAAATCTGTATAACTTGTACCCTTTCACTTTTTTTTTCTTTTCTCCTTAAAAAAAAAAAAAAAAACATGGTTCTCGGACCCCCTGAAAAGGGGGAAAAGTTTTTTTCCTTAAAGGAAAGAGAGGATAAGAACCCTTTCTGCCTCAGTCTGCACTCAGCTTTGGGGGAGAGGGCGCTGCCCAAGGAGGCTGATTCAAGACAGTGAGCTCAGGACAGACCCGCAGAGTGGGAAGCGATCCACTTCACTCTCGTCCTAAAAACATGTTGCAAGGGCTACAGAGGCGTTTGCAGCTTGTGTGGGGTGCAGCACTGGACAGAGAGAGTCACAACAGAGCCTGCAAGCGAGAGAGAGGGAGAGAGAGAGAGAGAGAGAGCGAGGGGGAGAGAGAGGGGGAGACAGAGAGAGAGAGAAAGCTGCACCTCGCCACCCCCCCCCAGTCTCGATGGCTGAACGCACACATTCCCCGAAAACAGTAGTGATGTGGGGAGCCCTAGAGAGGCGGGAGGGTCATGAGGCCCAGGACTATGCCAGGACACTAGGAAGAGCATCTCTCCTCTGGCCTCCACAGGGTGGGTGTCAGTAACTCCCTCTGAGGAAGACTGGAAAATACCGAACACTTACTGCGTACACCTATTCCTAATTACAGAAACACTGTGACCCACACATGAACAGAAGCCAGGTCTCAAAAGACCCAGGAGAACATGTAAGCTCTGGAGAGAGAAAGCACCTCTGCACATTATCTGTGCAGCACCCCCTCAGTTTCTGGGGGCCTGCGAAGAAGGATGTGCTTTGCTCAGAGCCCTGCAGGCCACCTGTCCACCGACCAGAGCAGGAGGACCACTGCCTGCCCCTGCCAGGGGCCTGGCCAGGGGGTGGGAGCAGCTCTCACAGGGAAGCGCAGAGGATGTGAAATCACAGAAGCAACAAACAGTGCTACGGAGAGTCGAGCTTTCTTTTTAGTCAATCAAATTCGCGTGATCATCTGTGTCCAAAGATGCACCACGGCCAGCTTCTCACCAAGTCCTTCAACTGGGAATGAAAAATGCATTTCAAGTCTGAGCTCTCCATCTAAGCATGTAAATAAATCCCGAACTGAGAGACGGTAGCGCTGAGAGATTAAACCTATCCTTACAGGCACAAAAACAACATGAATGTAATGAATACAGAGAATAACGGCATTAAAACTTTAAACCCTCAGGAAATAGTCTTCCTCTTAAGCAAAATGAAAAACCGTAAGAATCTTTCTTAGGAAGTACATCCACATTGTATGAAAACAGATAGATGGGCTTAACTGCATTTTCTACTAAACAGTAAAAACTCTATAAATAAAACAATTCCAGACATACCTGATGCCCCTCTTTCATGTATAAGCAATTCTTTCTCCTTTTCTATTTCATCTGCAGCACGGTACATGTCCTCCTCGCTGAAATCACACCAAAGTAGACATTTTCAAACACTGTGGCACTGACATTTTGTGTTGCATCACAATAAAAAGCACTTACAGATGTATGGAACACTAATGGTCTCAGTTTTCATGGCGATAATTACAAAATAAGGGATCTATCCTAGATGCTCTTGTATCTATCTCACCACTGTTCCACTTTGAAGTTAAAGTGATACATTTTAAATCATTCTACTGTCTACATGGCTCCAAGGTCACTTAATTAACATGTATTAATGCCCCAGCTACGTGTCTAGACATCTTAGCGGGAATCCATCAGGGAAACTCCTGAAATGATTCTGTCAGGTTTTAAGGATGGAAATCATATCAGAATACAGGACAACTGCCAACCTATAGTACATGTCACGCAAATCTGACACCAGCTATTCTAAAATCAGGAAGAGGAAAGCATCAATAGGACAAGTTTCCAAAGCTAAAGATCGTCTGGAGGTTACTCCTGTCCTCTAACCTTCGCAGTCAAGGGCCCACATGCTGTCGCCGCTACTGACTTCTTAATCGCGTAACAGCTTTCCAAAGTATCTGGAGTTGCCTGCGGGAACTAATGAGCCTATTAAGCACCAGAAAGGTAGAAAATCCCACTGGGCACTAGCCAGAGATGAACAATAGGACCCCGTGTTTGAAGATGTTTCTTTTTACCCAAGAGTCACCCCAAAATGACGATGAAGGAAACACCAATCCTATCTCTGCCTAAAGCAGAAGACACATGGAAGCTCCCAAGAAAAGCAGGGTGGTGACTGAGCCAGGCCAGGAAGCAGAGGGCTGGTGGAGGAGCGGCTGTGGAAGGCAAGCAAGCAAGCCCAGCTGAACCCCAGAAAGGCTTGGGAATTGGAGGGGCTAAGTCCTTCTTATGGTACACAGAGCTAAAGACAAGGAGATGAGCTGACACCCACGTAAGGAACACGCAGATGCCCAATTCCTTAAGCTCACACCACAGAGCCTCTGGGGGCCTCTGGATACCACAGCACTCAAGGAGGAGCTTATCAGAGTGAGGCATCCACCTGCAATTCCCTTATTTCTCTACAGCCCAGCACAAGTGGGGGAAAGAAAAAAGGGTAGCAGGCAGCAGTGCGGGAGAAGTGAGACTCCCTCAGCCTGCTGAAGCCTGTCCGGGCGTCCCAGCACACAGGACCAACGTCAGAATCCGCACAGCTGCCACTGGTCAACCCTGGCCCGAATCCCTTACCCCTCTCTGATCTAGCACACTGCAGTCCCAACCCCTACCCAGCAGGCAGGTCCTCTGCACCTGCGATCATCCGCTCTGCCCCACACTACCTGCCCCACCCGAGGCACACTGTGGGGGTGAGAACTCTACTCCGGTTAGACTCTCAGAGGTTAACTACTCTCCTCCCAACCCTTATTAGCTGTGACAGCAGCTTCTACAGTAATGACACTTGTCAGTGCCTAAGTGTAACCACGGTAAGAAGGACAGTAAGAGTGTGCCTGTCAGCTCCCAGAACTGCTAGAGAAACAGGCATGTGTGAAATAACTACTATGCCAGGAGCTAGCTATTCTTACTACCTCTCACATCTCGTCTCTGGAGCAGAGTATTAGGAAGCAATTGTGGGGGGCCCGCACTGGGGAAGGAATCCAGGGCCTCAGGCCAAGCGCTCCACCCTGAGGTGCAGCCCCAGCCTCCAGCCATTGCCATACTTTTCATTCTATTTTTTTCTTTCTAAATAAATGTGGGGGCGTGCTTTAATGAAGTGAGGGTGAGGGAACAAATACATCAGAAAAGGCACTTCTTCCAACTACTGTGAGACCTCAAGTGGAAGACGCGGACTCACTCACGGAGCCTTGCCAGAGTTAAAACAAACCGGAATCTGATTCTAGAACTATTGATCAAAGACCTAAAATAAAGCGCAACCAAACATGTTCATTCTTTTCTCAAAAACTGCACACCCTTAAGCCTCCTTCCTAGATTTGTCAATGAGAGAAGTTCTCATCCTCTAAAACAGCCGCCCAAGCAAATCCCACTCTTTAATATTAGCAAGAGCATGTCTCTGGGCAAGGCACTTCCTCAACCCTGCCCTCGGTTTGCTCTTCTTCAGAACAGAGGAGAGAATAGGAGATGAGATCTCTGAGCCATGCTTCCCCTTCCAGTGCTTCCTGTCTACACAGTACCCGTCATTAAAAGCAGCAAAGCAAGCCAGTGCTCTGGCTTCGCTGCCTGCGTGTTCGGCTCCACTTTGATCCCTTTCCTTGTTACTCTACAAAAACAGAATCACAACACCCGTGCCCAGAACCCATCTGACCATGCACAGAAACAAATTCCCACAAAGGCCAGAAAGAAGAGAAGAAAATGAAACAGAACAAACCGGAACTCGATGCAAAGAGAAGACAGGAGAGAAAGAGATGACTGGAAATAAAAAGCAGTGATTCAGAATTCAGTACACAAAAGTAGCAAAGCAGAAACTGATGAATAAGAGGTCTACAGTATATGCAAATTATGCAAATTACTTTGGCCACAAGTAAATTTCACTCAGAGCCTGTGCAAGAGTATTTATTTGTTAACTTCCTTGGCCACCAAGGACATGTGGAAATTATTAATGACCCTGAAAAACAATCCCAAAGCTGCAATTCTCTGATGAAAAGTATGTTTTAAACCTAAATGATAAAATAAAGCTCAAGGAACCTGGAAAGAAAGGCACTGAACAGAAGGAAAAATTAATCCACCTACTATAAGAAAATAAAAATAACAGTAATTTTGTTTTTAAAAAAACTTCAAACTTTTGCCTTAAATATCAAAATATTAAAGCTGAAAATAATAACATGAAATTATATTTAAAGGTGTGGATGTGAAATAAAAGTGTGATTTGAAATTTTGTTATGGGAAGAAAAGACAGTGGAACAATGAAAGAAAAAGGGATATCACAAAATAAAGTAAAATTGGAGCTGAACAACTCCAAAACAGGTAACTTTGTCTGCTGAGTTGGGGGTGGGAAGGTGTCCACTCTGGAAAAAGGAAAGAAAGAGACCACTAAAGTCCACAGCCCCACATGACCGGCATCAGAAGTCTTCTAGAAAACATAAACACAGCTAGAAAAGTGGCAAAGGCATCATTGTCAGTGACTCAACTTCCTGGCATGTGAGTCACAATTACATTGCTAAATTAAATTTCAGAGCCAAAAAAAATAACCCCTAGTTAGAAAATTAAGTTATGCCATTATTAAAAAGTATATTTTTATTAATGCACTATGTCATTACTTTAAAGTATATTGCAGTACACTGAACCTGTTTCTCATAAGTTAGAAATGAAATGTTTTAGTAGCAATATAATATACCATGCTGAGGAAGCTATATGATACTGCATACTAAATTATAACTGGCAACTGGTGCTGTCTTCAAAGACCTCCACACTAACAAATTTCTGAAGACTTTTTTTCTCATTATTATAAAGATGAAGTCATACTATTTCTAAAAGTAAAGCTGAAAGTTAAAAGCAGAGCTCAGTGAAGCAGAAGACATTTCTGTGGAGCTCATTTTTCAATTTTTGATAAAAGCAAAGATGTAAAAAGAATTCCAATAGATACACACAAAAGCTAACAAGACAGAACTTTAGTCACCATTATGAACCTCTGTACCAAGATGCCCTTAGCTGTCTGAAAGAACTGAGTAATGGCTTTCTTCACCTCTCTGAACTTAAGCCCTGCAGTTCCTGTTCGACTTGGCCTATCCTACTCTAACGGCGTGGGCAGTATGAGTGAGACAATCAACCAGTATGACAGCGACACATCTTCCTACACAGACACAGGAAAAGCCAAGACCACTTACCCCAGCCCCCCCCCCCCGCCAAGCAGCAGAGAAGGGTGAACAACACAGTAAATGCAGGAAAGTACCAGCACCCAGGCCAAAATTCCACCCCCTTCTCGCAAGTGGACTTTCCATGACTGGCTCTGTGTGACTTGCAGGGGTATGCAGGTAGGGACAACACAGCCACCCTCAACAAGGACGTCTAATTCCTAGACACCTCTTAGCTTGATCCCTGAGGTAGGCTTTCAGTTTCCAACACGAGAGGAATTGCCATGATTCTCCACTTACCTCCACTCTACACACTAGGAGCTCAGGCGGGGGTAGGAAACAGATCGCACAGGAGTAGACTGAGTACACCCAAGGACAAGAGTTCAACACTTTCGGGAAGGACTTACAACCCTTTGGACTATTCACAACTTTCATTATCTTGATCCAGAAACAAACACAAATTTTGCCTTCAACTTCATGGGACTTCAACCAGACATCCCCACACACAGCTGTGAGCCCCAGATTCAAGTCCTGTCTCACCCTCAGGCACAATGAGAAGCCTGATAAGGCTTCTGGAGAAGCAAGATAAGGACAAGCAGCAGACATAGCAGGAATCAAATGCCAGCAGTAAGCGAGCAGGAGATAAAGCTCGGGAGGCCTGCTGAAGTGGGGAGAGAGCTTCCAGAAAAATCAACTCATCTGACCAAATATAAGACCTCTTCAAACGTGACCCTGAATTATCCTGCGAGCTATCCCAGGGGCTTGTCTGAGAGACACCAGGCAACCACAGCTCTCAGACAACCCAATTAAGAACTAAAACTGCAATGAGACTGAGAAAATAGCTTGCCCGTGTGGTTTATGTCCCACCTCTCCTCCTGGTGAATCACAACGAGCTTGTCGGCTAAAAATCGGAGTAACTACTAGGAAACAAGCCGTCCCTTACGGCTTCAAAGAGTCATAGCCCAACACATAACTCAGCTGAAAAAGATGGGCAATGATTTGTATGCATAACTACTTTCCAGGCAATGTATTAAAAACAACTCCATGGTATATCTAAAACATCTATAGTCTTCTTACGTTACATATTTCCATCTGCAAACACTTTAATTGACTCTATCTGGTTGGAAAGAAGAGCCTTGGCGCCAATGACTAAAAAACATTTTAAAAGGATGTTACATTATTTAAATTTACACTCAAACTATTGAGCCGCACATGTTTATATGGCATGCAGTAGTTTCTCTAGCCCACAAGAAAACATTACAGGACAGAAAGATATTATCACAAGACCCACATAGTACTGCTGATTCAGAAAAAAGAACCAGGCTAGGAAGCCCAAAACTTAAGATTTAGGTTCAAGAGTTGACATTTGAAAGTTGTATCAATGCTCTTGATTTTTCCATCTAGTGAGAAGTGAAGGGGAATGGAATAATTAAAGGCAACAAAAGCAGAGTGAGAAACGACATCAGGCTGCTAATAAAATCACACACCAGAACATCTATTCCGATGATGGTTGCGGTCATCACAAATCTCATCCCTCTGCTCAGCTTCGCTAAGGAAGCTTGGGATAGCAGGCAGCATTGGGACACTGCCACCAAGCACGAGCCAAGCTGCACCTAAGGAATCTGCAACTGTTCCCTGAAGAGTGACAAGACAAACCTGTAGCATGTTTTTTAGCTTCGGCTGAAAGTCTGATAGAAGGCAAAATAGGCACCGGTGCCATAAACTTTTCCTCCAGAAAGCTCTCTTTCCCACGGTGCACAGATCTCAGATAGAGAACTAGATCCACCAGAAAACTTGCCAGGTAGCTAGAGTTTAGGCTTCAAACTCAGGCATCTAAGTGGAGGCTCAGGGCAGTGGAAGCAGCAAGTAGGAACCAGCACAGCGCAATGAGGGCAGAGGAAGAAATCTCCTCCATTGCCCTGTGTAAACTGAGATAGACAGCACACCGGTAGCCACAGACCACATCGACTCATTCCTGGACCTCTACAGTGTGTAGATTTTAAAGAAAAATGGGGGTGAGGGAGAGGACGCTATTTAAAACTCAGGGTATTTCATGCACAAGCTAGTATATCTTACTTCTTTAAATACAGAAGATCCAGCAACTACTGGCTGAAGCTTAGAGACACTCGCCATCAAAAGCTCTTTACATCCCCTAAAAACACCATGCCAATTTCTCTAAATTACATTCCTATTTCTGAGAGGCGTTACATACCTCTTACTCTCACTCCTTCTTCCTAGGAGTGACTGTTACCCATTAAATAATTATCATCAGTAAGTGCTCAATAAACGCGAATAACAAAGTCCATGTAAAGCACTATGCTAATGAGAGTTAAGTTACAATATATTAGTATGAGCCCCCCCCCAGGACTCCACAGAAGTTTAAAAGGATCAAAGTGTCTTATAAGTGCATTTAAACAAACGCACTTTACAATTTAACTTTCCAGGGAATTAAAATATCTGTCAAATTGGCCACTGGAGTGCTTTCATTCACTTTGTAAAGCCAATGTTATTTACATGTACCTAGAACTCGAAAGTATGGCAAAGTTTTACTCAAATTCCAGTCTGGCTTCCACTTACAACCACCCCCCACCCCAAAAAAAAATCCTTCAAGAAATTAAACAACTCTGATTTTCGCCGTCGGTATTGACTCTGAGTGTTTAAAAAAAGTAAAGCGCGGAAAGGCGCCGGGCCGGGCCGCGCTGGGCCAGGGCAGAGCGGCGCGCGTGGGGCAGGTGGGCCGCCCACACGCGGGGACTTGCCCTCCACGAGCGAACTTGTCGCGGGCCGCCTGCCTGCGACTGGGACGGGGGCGACCGTACTTCCTCCCCGGGCAGGGCTGGAGGACAGCGAGCGCCACGGGGAGCCAGTAAGAAAACAGACTCTCCGCGGGGCTGTTCCCCAAGTTCTGGAGCATTTCCTAACTTCGGAGAGCTGCAGATGTCAAAGCCGGGAGAGGGAAGCGCGGGGGACCAGAACAAGACGGAGGCTCTCCCACCTGATCGCAGACGACCTCCTAGGGAGCCGGGGCTGCCACCGAGGAATTCAGCCCAGCCCTGCGAGGGGACCCGAACCCACCGCCGCCCAGCCTGCGCCCCGCTCACTCACTGCTCGGGCGGGCCCCGCATCTGGGGCCGGGGCTGCCCGCTGGCCGCAGCCCTCCCTCCCTCGGCGCCCGCCTCCCGCGCCAGCGTCTCGGCGCAGCTCGCGCCCGGCCACGCTCCGGGTTGGGGCATGCTGCCCCGACTCATGCGGGAGCCTGCCCGCAGCAGAAGCTCCGCTGCCCCGCGGGTTCCGAGGTCCACGGCACGCTTCCGCGCGCGTCAGCACGGCCCGCCCCTTGGCCTTTGACCCGCGGAGAAGGGGCGTGGCTCGAAGGGGAAAAAAACTTCTGCGTCGCCTGAGCATGCGCCTGCGCAGACTGAGCCGCCGAAGCCTGGGGCAGTCCGGGCGCGTCACGCAACTACTGCGCATGCTCCGTTCCCTAGCGACGCGCTTGCACCTCTCAGTGGTGCCGAGACACTTGCAGACTAAAGCGCTGGGAAGGACTCCGGGAGCTCGCTGACTTCCCGAGAAGGAGCAGGACACGTTGTCGCGTCGGACAGTGTCACTCTGGGATCCCGAGTGAGCATGCAGTCCCTGTTTCCCCGCCGCAGGCCGGACCCTCCGCGGTGGGAAGGACCGACTGGTCCCGCTGGACACAGTTGAGCAAGCGCAGGCGTGGGTTCTTGGATTACATTCATTCGTGCGGAAATTTTCGCTTAAGTGGGATAAGAGCAAAGGGCAGATAGCAAGACCGCGAAGATCCAAAGGTGAAAATCCCACGAGATGAGCACCCCGCATGGGCATTACTGTCGCTGAGACAGGACCCGCTGGAGGAGGAACGGGAAACACAAAAAGACGAATTCTTGTCAGGTCACATTCTTGGAGGAGTTGCAGAAATGAGCGCCACCGTCAAAGACTTGAAAGTTGCAGAGTTGGTAATAGCACATCGCTTTTCAACTTACCTGGCATATACAGAACACAGATGGCTCCAGGAGAATGATATTGGAGTCTCAAATTTAGTCATGTTGTGACTTCAGTTTCACTGCTGTTTTTGAAACGATGTTTCATTGCTTGAGCAAATCAGTACATCCCATAAGAGGCATGTAACTGTCTATCTCTATTGAAAGCGTTTACATTTAACTAACAGACCTGCAACATACCTTCTTACTTCCCTTGTTCAGATAAATCAGGTCAACCCTGGGTCATAATTAGTCCATAGTAGCCGCTTTTGTGTTCCCTTTCTAAAACCTCGTATTGAAGATATGCTGATTAGTCCTGGTGGGCAGGAAGTAGCAAGCACAGTGGACTTATTGGTAGTGTATTTACATATCAGAGTGGAGGAAGTCAATACCCCCAAAACTTCAGGAATCTTCTACCTCAGTGAAATTTCTAAGTCCCACATGGGACATGCCACTATATCACTTCTCAGGTGAAGGCAAAGCTGGTTCAGGTGGGCTCTTCTACAATAATAACAAAAAGGAGGCTCAGTGCCTAGAACAAGTCTAGACTAGTATGCAAGTCGCTGGGTCATGTGATCCCACAGCTGCGGTAATTATGGAAGTGGCAGTGACAGATTGAGGTGCTGGGTAGTCTTTGGCAGGCATCAGTAGATGAATCACAATACAAACCCTTAGACTGGAGCAACTCCTTGTTGTCCCCTATGGAAAACCCTACTCTTGGTTTGCAACTGGACCTTGGTAGATACTGAATTCTTATCCATGGGAACAAGTTACCGTGTGAACTGATCGTGTGGTAAAGCATGTTGCTAATATGTAACCCGCTGCAATGCACTGCACTTCTCTGGTTTTCCTTCCCAAACCCCTGAATAATTATGAGAAAACTAACCATCATACGATTCCATTGGAAGAGTATCACACAAAACACCTGACCAACTCTTCAAAACTGCCAAAGTCAGGGAAAACAAGTGTGAGAAACTGTCACAGCTGAGAATCAAAGGAAACAAGACAAACATGTTGGTATCCTGAGAAGTACACCAGGTCAGAAAAAGACACTAGGTTAAGCAAAGAGGATCTCAATAAACTGGCGTTTAGTTATAACATGTATGAATTCATTTCATTAATGGTAACGTGCCATATTGATGTAAGATACTGGTAATACAGGAGATGGAATCCAAGACAGATGGAAACTCCATCTTCTCATTTTTTAAAATCTAAGCTTCTGTAAAATATAAAGTCTATCATATTAAGAAAATCAAACTCAGATCACTATGTCATAGTTAATCCACTACTTTCCAAAATAGAGAGAGAGAGAAAGAGAGAGAGAGAATCTCACTATGCAGTTCAGGCTGGTCTTGAACTCACTATGTAGCCTAGGCTAGCCTCAAACTCATGGCAATTCTCCTGCTTCAGCCTCCCGTGTCCTGTAATCCTGTGCCTCCATGCTTGGTTCCATGTTCCTATTTTGTACTTCATTTATATATTAATTGTTTCCCTGCCTGGCAAGTGTGAGGTCGTAAGTTCAATCCCTGGCACCAAAATAAAAAATAAATAAATGTTAATTATTTCGTCTTTGTCTCATCTTTTAAAATTTCTATTATGTATGTTTTACAATATATATAATACCCTAAATGTTTGCTTTATTATGTGTGCATGCATACTAGGGATATGCTAATTTTTACTAAGATTATAAAACTAAATTATTAGCTATATAAGTGTGTTAAGCTAAATAAATAAAGAACTAAATTATGACTCAAGAAGCTGAGGCAAGAGAATCACAAGTTCGAAGCCAGCCCAGACAATTTAGCAAGACCTGTCTCAACATTCCAAAATTACTTTGTAAAGAGGGAACTAGGCGTGGTAGAGCACTCCTGGGTTTAATCCCCACTCATGCAAAAACAAACAAAAATCCACACACTAAATTATAATAAGTAGCCCATCCATATGTTGAATAAATCATTCTAAAAAGTTGGGGGCTGGGGATTTAGCTCAGCAGCATAAGTACCTGCCTTGCGAGCAGGCGGTCGTGAGTTCGATCCCTGGTACCAATAAAAACGAAAAAGACCAAAAAAAAAAAAAAAAAAGTTGTTAGTTTAAGTAGAAACCTAGATAATAGTACTACCAGAGGCAATTCCAGTTAGTTTCTAGTTTTTTCGTATCAAATATTAGGCACCTAAAAGTAATATTAGGCATTGTAATTGGTAAATACTTGATTTGGAATCATGAATCAATTATGTACTTCAGGGACCTGCCTTGAATAGTTAAGGTTGGAAAAACTCCAGTTCCTTTTCACTGAATATTCCAGCTCTTCCCTGTAACAACTATTTATTGTTCTCCTTTATTCCTTTTCAAGAACTTAACATGAGTTGGATGCATCGCCTTTTTTGTTATACCATAAACTTATTTTATCACAAGGTCAATGTACCTTATATTTTTACTCTATGGAATTTCCCAGGGCTACAGCAATTTTAAAAAATGGATCTCAAGTGTATTCTGTACGTCAACTTCTAAAGTATTCACAAGAAAGGTACTTTTTAGTTGGCTAGTTTCATAGGTTCATTTACTGTGCTCAACTTTAAAGGGAAATATTGTTAGTTTCACTTAGAAATTAACTCTTAAATGCCCAAGTGTTTGAAAGACCCTTTCCCACAGCACGCCCCTTGATTATGGGATACTCATTTTTTTTTAAGTGGAAAAAAAAACTTACTATCTCTTTGCAGTTCTGAGGTTAAAAGTTATTACAGAAAAAAAAGGAAGGAGAACAACTCCAACTTTTAAAAAATACCTTGCAGTAGTATAACCTGGAAACCCCCAAAACTTTACCTAAAAGTTTACTTTGGGAGAAGTATGGGTCATAATGAAATTTATTTTATCATGAAAATGAAACTATTTTATACTTAAAACAGATAAGAGAATGATGCAATCCTAATTCATAAACTTGGAGATGTGGAAAACATTAAACCTGTCATTTGTCTCCAGCTAAGCAGAAATTTCAAGCCAGGGTTTTAGCTCAGTGGCACAAGAGCCTGCCTGGCAAGCACAAGGTCATAAATCCAATCTCGGGTACCTAAAAAATAAAAATAGAAAAATAAACAATTTCATCCTACAGAAGTGATCTAGGCAGATGATGAAAATGATCTTAAATGCCGTTTCGTACTGTACTGTCTGCTATGAATTGAACTGCATTCCCCCCCAAATTTACGGATTGCAGCTCTGACCCCCGGTGTAATTGCATGGGAGGTAGGCGAAACAAGGGTGTAAGGGTGAGCCTCTCCTGTGGTGTGGCTGGGACTGAGGCCTTAGAGGCCCAGAGCTCTCAACCCTCTGCTGTGTGAGGACACAGCAAGGAGGGAGCCACCGAAAGCTCAGGAGAAAGCTCGCACTGGAAAGTCCCTTGGCCAGCACTTTGATTTTATTCTCCAGCCCCCAGAACCATGAGAAAAAAATTAAAAAGGCAGAGAAGATATCCCGTGTCACTTACCATGCCTTCATGTCACCAGTTGTCTGATATTAGGTCAACAATTCCCATTCTGCAGCCAGAGAGAAAAACATCAACCCTACTGCACCGAAAAGTCTACTTGTGATAAATTAGGTATCCATTCTACCTGAAGAAGTCACAACAGGAGATGCTTGACAAGTCCCCCGGATCTTCTATACTCTTCTCTTGGTCCGGAATTGTAGGACAGTTGACTAGGTCTCCCTCAGAAGATAAGGCTGTATAATTTCATCGTCCTTCCCAAAGACTCGGACGGCTCGAATCCACATGGAGTAGTGGCCTCCCTCTGAGGAACCCTGGCTAGGATGGAGAGGTTTGGGGGGAGTCCCCTTCCCAGCTGTGGGAGGCCAGGGTGGGGGGCCTCCAGCCACCTCCTTCATGTTCCCCGTACCCCTTCTTCTGAAAAGCAGGACCCACAGGTAGCTCAGCAGATCCTGCTATGGTATATGCCCTGTGATCCGTCTGCAGTGCCACTGCAGTAGCCTTCGGTCACCCCTCCCCTGAGGGCAGCTGAAAGGCAGCTGGGCAGAATCATGGTTGGCATTTGTATAAAACACAGGCAGAGCTTGAGGGATGCAGTACATGCACCTGTTTCTATATATTGATTATAGATACATAAATTTTAGATATATTTGCATTATATAAAGTGTGAATTACATGTGTTCCTTTTTACTTTTTAACATGACTGTCAGAAAATTTTAAGTTACCTTTTACTATGGTCATGTCATATTCTATCAGACATTGTTCTTCAGCTTCAAAACAAGGAAATGACTTAAACAGTGCTTTCTGAGTAGCCTCCTGTGCAAGGCACTAAACACCTGAGTCCAAACTTTA